TGTATGTAGGGCGGAATTAAAAAAAACACGAAATCAAAATCAAAGTAAAATGATAATAAAATAAAAAGGCATTAATAACAAAAGTAATAAAAAATAAAATTAAAATAAGTTTATAGCCAAAATAATTAAAGCCCGTACACTACATCAGATTTTAATCAGATTGACTCCCTACCTAATGGTTCATCTTTACTCAGTCCACTCATAGCCCCTCCTATATTAACACATGATTCACTCCTTATTTAATCCATTCATTGCCCCTCCTGTATTTACAAAATGGTTCAGCCCTTTTTTTGACACTTACCAGGTTCGGTGTGTTTTAAAACAAAATTTTCATCTTCAAACTTTTTTCCATAAATTGATTTCCCACCAGTTCCATTATGATTTGTGAAATCACCTCCTTGACACATCTACATTTAACAGTCATGGAAAAAATAAACCAAGGAATGCAGTAGTAACCTACCTTGAGTAAAACCAAACTAGGATAATCAGTGGTTGTTTTTAGTATTTCAAAACTATCGTCCTTTAATTTGACAAGAGTTTTGTAAGTCAAGCAAAGATTTACATTGTGGGTCTTTATGTCAGAGTCATTCTCTTTCCAAAATGTCATTCATTTTGCACTTTTTCATAAATTTTTCTAAAATTTCATTTTCTTCCAAAATTTTGAGCAAGACCTGTATCTAATGGGAAACGATGTCCATTTTGTTTAAAATTCAAAAAGGTACATAAATTTGGAAAATGTGGCACTAAAACTGTGAGAGAAATAATTACGACATTCACAGGGTACAAACTACTACTCCCATTGAAACATACATGTAGGTGGAAAAGCTCATTTTTAAGTAACTTCCTGTGGCAGGACATGGCTTACTAGAAAAAAATGTGGATATTCTAAAAACACAACAAATTCCTGATATTGAGCAGAAAAATGACATCAAGAAAATGACAAAAAACAAATAAAAATTTACAATACTTGAACATATTTCCATGGAAACACTGACAGCCATTTTGATATATCGATCAATCCTACTTTGGTGGTCATTTTAGATTTGACAATGGGAAAATTATGCCAACAGTTGTTCAAGCACCCCAGATTTTTTCTTTGCAATTGAAACAAGCCATAAAGAATAATTTCAGCAAATTCCTGCCCCAAAAATGTTAGTCATGACCATTCGTGTACTTCTGAGAGGGCACCTAATGTACTATAGAAACATTTTATTGGCAGCCATTTTGAAAATGGATGACAGATAAAGCTTATTTGACATTACAGTACAGTTTATTAAGAAATAAAATGAATGTCCTTGCAGATGGTTAGATTGATTATGAAATTATTATAACATTTTCACTTAATTGAAATCACATTTCCAATAGTATCATATGAAAAATAAATAAATACAAATACAATACAAATACAAATACAAAAACAAGTTTGTTTTGATGAGAATGTACACCAAAGTCACACATATTTACAACACCTTCAATTTTAACAAGTCAAATACGGTATATGTATCACAGTAAAAATAGTGTACTGTAAAATACTTTATTTTCTCTGAAAATACTTTTTGGGTGTTTTGTTTGGAATTTATTTTCACTGTTTTTTTGATGAGTTGAATGTAAAATTTTGAAAAAAAAGGTATATTCACTGGATTTTATTTTAACTGAATCCTTCATTCACAAAAGTGAAAAATTAATTACATGTGAAAATAAAGTAATTTACAGTACACCGTAGAATCGTCATTACTGGTAGTAGATATGACATTGTTCAACTGCACTGCACGGCTTGAGATCTGATGACTGGTATACCTCAATTTGAATTCGTAACAAATTAAACAATACGATCAAAGGATACAAACTGTGGGATAATTCGGTGAAATGAACTTCCTTTATAACCAAAACCTCTTTCATGTGTACAGAGACAGCGAAAGTTTTCTGAAAAAAAAAAAAATGAGATTAATCGATGGAAAAAGATTATCATATAAAAACATCACAGAACATGCTTATAGGTTTTTACAACATAATTAAAATTGTATCAAGACAAGTCAGTGATTCTCAAATTTTTTGCAAAAAGGGTTTTGTCCATGTCCATGGAAGCTTTCAGCTGGTGATTTTAAACAACGTCACCAACATTGACATTCAAGACTTCACATTTAAACACTTTCCTTTGTTTACATTGGATGCAGAGCTCTAAAGCCCGTGGCAGAGAGAGCGTACAAAAGTGCTGCATAACTCTAATGCCAGTGAAGTGTATACCATAAAATTAAATTTAAAATTGACACTCACCTGTTGTCATGGGAACGACATCAGCTCTGAGTAATATAGTGATCCTACCAATGTTTTTATTCCCAATTTTAATATCAAAATATACTTGTGGATTAGCTTTGGATTTCATAGCTGTGTTCTCAGATGCCTGGAATGATAAAACCATTATTATCTTAGACACCAAACAAGCATTTTGCGACATACAGCAATCTAATGTTGCTTCCAGGCAAGCATCCAGTACTTAGGCACTGATAAGGTTGTGAACAAACACAATAAATCCATTGTGTCAATAACACATACTGGTAATTATATAAGTGACTCTTTATTAGGCCTGAAAACTGTCGACAGTCTGCGTTGAGTGTAACCAAGTTTGAATGCAAATTCATTAATACATAACCAAGAATCCATTCGGTAATAGGGCTAACACTATTTTACCATTTAAAATCAGATTACAGAAAATCTGACTATGCATGTTAAGCCGTTTAATTTTCACTCCTAAAAATTATTGCGTTTTTAAGATTTTATGATATCTGTGTAGACAACAACATTGCATAAAATTCACAAAAATTGGTAACATATGTGTGAAGTGTGAAAAGGCAGCTAAATTTCTAATAAGAATTCTAAAATTCTACTAAGAAAATTAGTTTGTTGTGCTCACCTCATCAGTATCTCCTTTACTCTTTGATTCACCATCACCATCACCCTCATCTTTCTCTTGATCTTTCAATGTCGCCCCGGAATGTTTTCGCAGCCAGTTATCATCCGCCCAGACTGTAGGGCAAACATTCAGGGTTTTAGTATGGTTAGATAGGGGCAGGAAAAAAAAAAAAATCTTCAATATGTAACACTGGTGGCAGTATACCACACGATCAACAAAACATTCAAAACTTTTAACTTTTTTGCCAGCAATTTTTGGGAGAAATTCTTTTTTAATCAAATTATATTTTGAGTGACATTTGATACAAAAATAAGTTAGTTTTAACACTACACTACACATGTACAAAACAAATCAACTTAGTCATACCTGCTTTGTTGGCACCTTCTTTTATCTTCATGGGTTTTGCCAGATTGACCCGAATTGTTCGACCAAACAACTCTGAATCATTCTATAAAATACAAAGAATCACCATGGTTACTAGTGACAATCTTGGTCTACATTAGCAGATAATATGACAAATTTCACTTGATAAGGTTTGCGAAGTATTGTACACACAATTTTTAATGATTTTTGAAAATAAATGTGAAACCGATTATAATCTATTTCTATGGATTTCGCTGAACAAAATCATTCCAAAATGCATTAGACTTCAACAACAGCAGCAAAGTGTCATGCAAGTACCGTAGATAACATGAATCTGAAACAATAAGCTCTTGTTCTGACTATATAATGAAACAAATGTAATGATAACGTCACTAATCATCTCTGACGAAAGAAAACATGTAAACCACAATGTTAGGAAATTGAAAATCCTGACTTTTCCAGTAACATTCAACTATGACACAGATCACATGTCTATAAACGTAGTTTGAGAGAACAAGTCTAGTATTACTGTATGTCAACAGTTTCCATAGCAACATACCATGTTATCAATTGCAGCAGCTGCATCCTACGAAAAAAAAAAAGTGAATAATTGCAATTATGTTTAAAAAAATAAAACTTTTAATTATTACAATCTATGAAATACTAAAGTGAAAAATTCAATTTTTTGGACAGCAAACTAATAATACATTTATTTTAAGGTGGATTCTCAAGCAACATTTTTATTGTGTAAAGGATCAACATGGATTTATTGGATTCTGCTTTATCTGAACTTACTTCAGGATTTTCAAATTCCACGAATGAGAATCCTCTATGCTTTTCAGTTTCATAGTCCAAAGGAATCTGGATGTCAACCAAATCACCGAACGGTATGAACGCTGCATGTAACACTTTCTCATCTACTTCCTCGGCTAAACCTCCTGGAAATGTAATCAAAGATAATCTGATTAATTTGCATACATTTCAGAACACATTCATTGTCATTGGTAAGGTTTGGTTTTTTTTTTTTTGAAGCATTCTATGAAACAGTGAACAAAAATTTCCCTATCCCACCATAGCCTAGGTGGTACCTGTATGCAAAATGACTACACAAAATTTAAATGAGAGAGATGCACGAATCTGTGGTAAAAATAAGACATACCCAGTACTGTTTGTTTGTTTGTCATGTACCTCCAAATCCAAACTTCCATTTATTTCATGCCAGATCATGTAAATACTGTAAAATACTTTATTTTAGCTGGATCTAATTTTCGCTCAAAAGACTTTTTGGAATTTATTGTCACAGATTTTTGGCGAGTTGAATGTGAAATATAGGAAAAAAAGGTATATTTGCTGGATTTTATTTTTACTGAATCAGTCCTTCAGCGAAAATTTATTCCAAGCGAAAATAAAGTATTCACATGAAATAAATGGAATTTTCGATTTGGGCGTACATGACAGACAAACTGAAACATCTGTGTGTGACTGATACTTGTAGCAAACACACTACACAAACTTACTAACCGCACTAAACATTTTGGGGCTCAGTGACGTCACATGTGACATTGACAAAATAATTTTGCGAAAGTATACATTGTACATCTGTACTTGGACTTGCGAATTGTATTTGTGCAATAGTGCTTGTCTACCCATATAGACAGATTAGAAATAGCTACTACCAAGAAAATGTAATTTCAAGTCACTTCTTCTTGGTTGCCCTGGTACTAAACTCTTTCAGTTGAAACTGAATGGCCGGGCTAGTCAGTTGTTCCCTTCTAAAACCATTACACGTGCGTGGAGTCGACGCAGATTTCACATTAATCCTTTTGTATCTTTTCAAATTTGAAAGGAATAACATTTGGAAGTTTACTAGGTTAACTTATAAACTGATCAATAAACAACAACCACATCAAATACAAGAAAACTCTCATGTGCTTACCGACGTAAACAATACGCTTGTTGGCGGCCATTTTGATTCCTATGACCTATGACCCAAGGACAAACTTGGGTTACTATCAACATTCAGTCCCGATTTGTTACCAATTTCGGTAGCAATAAAAATGATACACATCGCGAAGAATATTATTTGCTAACGAGACTCAGGATATTATGTTCATATATATGCTAAATAAGAGTTTAGTTATGAATACTGAGAGCGCTAACCAGAACGATTTTTAGAAAACAAAAGATTCTACATTTTTAGACTTTCGTGGCACTGTTCCTGAAACAGGAACTTATGTTCCGTCTGTCCGTGCGACCGTTAGTTGTCATATCTTGAACGCACCTGAACCTATTTTGTTCAAGGTCGCTGAAAGATAAGTTATAATAGAATATATGCATGTGCATTTTTTTTTTCAAAACACACACACACAAACATTTAAACAAGTTATCAATTGTTTGATTTCATTCAAACTTGAATGGTATCATGGTGGGTTACTAATCCACGTCATTTTTTATTTGATCCAAATTGGCCTACTGGTGGCCATTTTTTGTTAGGTTCGCTATTGACTTTGTCGAGTGGAGCTTATCATACAAGTCTGTCGTCCGTGTCAACTTTTTAGACTTCTTTAAAACTAAAAGCCTGATTACTTTGTTACTTGTTGTATCTTTAATTTTGGTGAATATTTATGTCATTTTTGGTAAAAAATTATATTTTCGACTTTTTGTTAAAGACTGCAAGTCGCATTGCTTTGAAATTATACATATACATGTAGTTACTTCAGGTAGACCCCTCTCAGATTTGTCCATTTTGTAATATCTTTAATTCTTTAATTGAAATGTGCATTGCTACCATCGGAGCTATCAAGTTTTCAAGAAGAAGTTTAAAAATATAATTGCTGACGGACGATAGGATCTGCTCCGCTTTTTCATCGATGTCAGCTTATAGTATGAAAACATTCTTCCCAGCACTTGTATTGAGAATATATATAATTACAAGCATTTTCTACCACTGTAACTCATTTTTACGTAAGATTCTGTTAATTTATGCATTCCCTAAAATGACATGTAATTAGTTCAACATGTCTTACAGTACATGAGCAAACAGAACAGTAATACAAATTGCATAATTTAATCCCAGTAAACCTACTACCAATCAGTTCTTCATACTTCAAAATAGCTTTTGGTTTCATAGTGTGTTTGGTACATTTGATTCTTTCAATTCCGAAAGAATACACTTAAAGCGTCACCTACGTGCGTGTCAGATGGCCATAGAGTGTCATTGTTTACAAACAAGTCTTTACCCACGAGTCTTAGCAGTCTTAGCGCGTGTTATCGTCGCTTGGGACTGTGCGGGCGCATGTAACGAGCATCCCGCTTTAATATTCATCATAATATCTATTAATGTCACTAACAAATAGAGAAGAAATGCAACAAAACTAATTTCATGATAAAAATGTATTTTATTTGTCTTCTAAATAAAAGTTTATTTCACTATAAAAATTCTCCACACAGACATACTTTTGTGCTTGTGATTAAGTGAATGTGGAATACATATATGACAATAAATAATATATTTGAAAGCCTATAAACTGATTTACTTCACTGTCAGATAAACAACAGATTTGCGAATAGACTCAGTGACGAGTTTCTATTTCTGTCACACACACCATGACTTTTACAAAATTGCTATACATGAGTACATTATGCAGTATCGTTAAAGAAAAGGAGAAAAAAACAATGAGCAAACTATATTTGAGCTTCATTTATTTTTGCTCACAGTAGTACTGTATTTGATCCATTAGTAGTACATCAGCAAAAGTATCGCGTATATATTGCATTTGTTGTACTTGATTCATTACAAAATTACATATTTTGACGATGAAAACACCCGACATTTACATAGGGGCCATGCTACTAATAGAGCAAATACAGTATAAAGCTTATTTAATAATTGTTTTGATTGGTTTCTAATCTATAGTACATTTCAACCAATCACAAATTAGGGCATTATCACAAATCAGGGCAATATAAGCATTAAATCCCACTTGCCACAATAAAACAGCCCACAATTTGCTATATTGATTTCATTTTATATATATATATTCATTAATTTAATTATGGCTTAGAATCATACTATAGGATTTTATTTCATTTTTGATACACATAGAAATTATGCAAATAATTGTAGACAAAGTCTGTCTGTATTCTACAATATTTTGAAACAAAGTAGGTAATCAGTTGTTCTGTTCTTACAAACTCTCGTGCAATCTCAATAACAAAATCTTGATGAATTTCACTGTAAATCAAAGAAAGCTTGGAAAGAACTCCCGTGTGCTGAGAGTTTTAGAGACACATTAAAAATTAATTAAAAATTACTTATACTTGAGATATTGATGGAATAGCTGAAAACTAATTATGCAAATAAGGTAAATAATATGAACAGATTTAAGTGTAAAATTAATAAGGTCTGCACAATGTACCAAGTTTCATTGAAATGTGATTAGAACCAAAAAAATATTAGTTATTATGCTAATTAGAGAATTAATATGAACAGATTTTAAACCAAAATTAATCAGGCTGTCTATTGTCCTAAAGCATTTATGGACCAAGTTTTATTCAAATGTGATGATCAATACTTGAGATATCAGTATTAAGTAATTATGTTAATTAGGTGATTAAGAAGCATGGTGCATAGTCTTAGGTTCATTGAAATGTGATGGGTACTCTTTAAAAGTTTCATTGAAATCCAATGAGTGGTTTTTAGACATCAGTGCAACAGCCATACAACAGCAAAAAATTAACTAATTATGCAAATTAGGTAATTAATAGACACAATTATTAATCCCAAAATTAATCAGGTCTCTGCATAGTCCTAGAATTTATCTATGTCGCAAGTCTCATTGAA